TACAATCCGTCCAGCGTGATTTCTGCGTCTGCTATCCGCTTATTTAACCTTGTTTTAGATAGGGTTATTATATCGGGTTGCAAATAAGCCACAGTCGGTTTAATTTCATTTATTTTGTCGAAAAGACTACTTACATTAGTGGGCATCATCGTCACATTATTGGTTTACTCGACCTCTGGAAACTGTTTGCTGGTTCTTGCGCCCGACATCTATTGCTTTATATCTCGCACAGCATACACAGTTCACCGGTAGACGGACGCTCATTGATCGTTTCTACGGTACTCACTCGTCCCCTTGTGCCTAACGGGCCCTCTCTCGAGCCTAACCAGCAGCTGCACAGCTGCGCAAGATATAGGCAGAATGTTATTACCGACAAAGACAAGGGAGACTGGGATGGTCATTTCTGGCTTATTAGCCGTCGTCAGTCAGTCATATCCAACCCCGAAGTGTGGAACACCTGGGGCTGGATCTTGCGACCTGTAAGTTGGAGGTCCAACGCCTCTAACTACTGAGCCACGGGCTCATTGTCCCGTATAGTTGGATAGAGCTGGCTGACAACGGCTAACAAGCCAGAAATTGCAATTCCAGTCTCCCTCGTCATTGTCGGTAATACCATTCTGCCTATACAGTTCACTGTCTGGCTCCAAGTCTACAAGTGTTGGGTGGAACTGATGTCTGGCGTGGTAACCGTTAATTTCCCCGGATAATTCTATAGAAACTTGAAGTTCGTTTTTATAATTTCGTTGTCTATAATCATCAAGACTTGTTCTCACCCTTTCTGACGGCTTTCAGCCCTTTAAATAGCGCATCAGTGTGTGCGCTCTTTTATCACCTCGGGGAGCTGATATCCGAACTTGTCTACTCTTTGAAATTGATCGTGACCCGACTCCGCCCTGAGGATATTGATCGACGAGTGTCAGCTGCTTATGAGCCTCAAGCTTGAAGCCCCCATTGTGGAGCAACCAAGTTCCGCACTCGTCGCCTGCGGCATTGGGTGATCATGCTGCTTGAATACGACTTGGATATCCGGTACCAGTCGACTACGAACATCGGCCAGTCGGATGTACTCTTGCGCA